GTATTTACGGTTCCAGATGATGTCTCTCTTACGGTTCTAGAATATTAAATGGCAATCCTTCGACTGTATTATTAGAAAAAAACATTCGAACCTCCAACAACGACCACTTACCTGTAAACAGCAGTCATTTTTACTTATGATTAGGCCTATATATATATAACAGAGGAAAAATATGGCGATCGGTCAAATAAAAACCCAAGATTTTCACATTTTTTGACTCGGGGGATCTTCAAGCGTCGAGAAATACAAAACATTCGAGAGGATTTCTGTACGTATGAATGTTTCTGTGGGAGGTGGTAAATGTGGTTCACCCTGTTTGATGCTTAATTAATAACTTCAGTGTTTTTGTCAAAAGTTTCTGAAATTTTGTAAGGAAGTTTGTTTATTAGGGGGATTGAGGTTATTAAATCTTGGTTGTTAAAAGTCGAGAGGGTGTTCACGTGAAATAATGGGAGTCGTGTGTAACATCAGTAAGGTCAAACTTAACGACGATTTTTCTCTTTATTAGAATTTAAAATTTCTTATAAAATCCACCCGTAACTTCAAAATTAAGCCTTTTACCATTTTATAATAATTAAAAATATTTAAAAAGTCCATTATTTTTTCTTTTTTACAAAAATGCATATAACACCACTTTCAAACAACGGTCATATTTTATGTTTTCATCAGTAACCATTATTCAAAAGCTTGACTTTATTACTTCAATAATACTGTAAAATAAATTTTATTTTGCTTATTGATTAAATAAGAAAATATGTTAATGATTTTACGGTCATTGCTATTTATCTTCTTAAAATCAATTAATTAATTATTAAGTTTTAATTAAATTTATTAAATTTCGTTATATCTTGAAACTTAATTAATACTTATGATTGAAACGGCTCCTATTTATTAAAAATTAAATAAATAATATTATCATAAACGAAGTTTAATTAATATAAAATGAATTGTTATTTTTGTAGAATAGAGGAGCATTATAATATGGAAAACTCTTAATATATAAAGTTAATTCGGCTCTATTTTCAAGATTAATCATAAAATTGAAATGTTCTTCCTCTTCGATGTTCATTAAAATATGTGAATTCATAAATTATTTTATTTTGTTCATAAAATACAAAGTACGTCCGATAAAACGTAAGAACCAAAATGGCGTGCAATACCTCAGGTTCCATATCAATCTTCAAATAGTTATGTTAAAAGGTAATCGCTAGATGACAGCGCAATTTGTTTAAAAATTTTATAATAAAATTCTGTAAATATGTTCAAAAAGTAAAGAATTTTTTTTCTTTTTATTTCACGAAAATGTGAAAATTGCTATTGATATTCTTGAGTATTAAATTTTATTTGAGAATAAATTATATTTCATTAAAGTAATTTACTTAGTTTTATTTACTGTCTTATTTTTCAAATAATATACTAGTTATGCAAATTACTATTAACGACACTAACCAGAATTATCTAGTAAATGTGTTTAATTTTATAGATTGTAGATTAATTTTTAAAAACACTGTGGAAATTTCAACATCTGTAGATATTAAAGGGGAGGAGGAAAGATAAAAACCATTATATATTTTGTACTAGGAAAATTTTCACTCCTTAAAATATCGAGTTAATTGTTAAAGAACGTTTAAAAATAATGATAAAGCATTTTTTTCTGGCGTTTGGATTATTTGTGGTGGTTCAGGTATACATAGAATAGGAACTAATAAATATTTATTAATTTATTATAGATTTAATGATTAACATTCAAAATACGTAATTACCCTCATAAGTAATTACAACTTATTTTTTAAAATTAGTCTTGGCAAAAATGTATATCACACAGCGATTGTAAAGAATCTGAATGTTGTGCTTCTACGTTTGTCGATGTGGTTTGTTTTAAAAGACCTCAAAAAGGTAAAATACCGTAAAATTTCCTAAAGTCAATAAATAAATATATTTTTAAATAATATTTTATTAACAGGAGATGAATGCGATCCTGTTGCAAAACCTTTAGTAGCGTACAATATAACACTAGATATACATTTTCTGGGTTGTATGTGTCCCGAAGGTCTACAATGCAAACTTGGAAAGGCAAGTTTAACTTTTAGAGAAATTTATGTCAATTCGTATTTGTTTATTTTTCAATAAAACTAGTTTCTAGAATGAATTATGAATAATTATTTCTTTATTAAGAGTTCTACGTTCTGTTCTCGATGTGTTTTACAGTATTGATTGCATTAATTTAAAACAGTTTATTCAGTTTTAATTTTATATTTAAGGGATAAATTTAGTTTATTATTATAATTATATATATATTTCATGGTTAACGTATGAATTTCAAACTATTTAAAGAAAATTATAAATAGATATCTTTTATCTAATAAAAGTTACTAAATGCCTACATTTTATTTCTATACCTTCTATAATTAATTTAGTTATTTAATAGTTCAATATAAGAATATATTTTCTTTTTTAGGATTTAAATGACAAAGTTTACAGATGCAGATAAAACGATTATCAAATTTTTTAAAAATGGCCAATTGAAGACTTTAAAATATTGCTATAAAAAAGAAATCTAATAAATTGATTAATAAAAACGAGAATAAAGAAGTAAATTGTATTTTTTATGTAACAAATAAATTTAATGATGAAACGTCAGAGTTAGATATTTTGACTTAAATTTATCATGTTGAACAGCTATTTCTGTATTTCTTGATTAAATGCTTCGATTTCAGTAATTATGTTTTTCACTCTGAAAAAATTGTAGATAAGCGGTTCTCAACTTTTTTTGTCTCATTGTTCCCTTGAAGTTTGCTCAGTAGAAAAATCAACTAACTTGTTAGCATGTTGTTGCTCAGCAGCAGTCTTTTAAGTAACGAGCTCATACTAATTGTGACCTACTAATATTTGCATTATGTTATTAAAAATACAAAGTTCATATTACTTTTTATAGCCAAATACCTGTTTATATTTCACTACCCATACGAAAGAAATGGTTTTCAACTACGAATACCTGCTGCGCATATCGGAAAAGTATCAACAACGACGATGGCTATGTCGTTGATTTTAAAGCATTCCGTCTATTTTACTACTTAGATCATAATTTAATAAAAAATAAACAGTTAGGTTTTCAGTAGGAAAGCGCATTTTTGAACACTTTATCAACTGTAAACTTTAAACATATTGAAGTTTATATGTTCGCTGGACAAACTTACGACGTAGAAGCGAACAGAAATACCGAGTTAAGTCTTCCGCTCTTACTTATTTCTGGAGTTATTATGACATCATTCTCTTTCGTGTCTTGTTTAACGTTCGATGCTGTAAGTAGTAAACCGTTGATTGGAATTGCTGCCTATTTCAGTCCCTTGCTGGGAACAGTAGCTGCCTTCGGTTTACTGTTACATTGTAATGTAGAGTACGTTGATACGAACGTTGCTGTTGCTTTCCTGACCATAGGTAAGTGCCCCATTTTGATTTTCATAAATGCAAATTTTCCTATTTATCTTTTATAAAATGTAATTAGATATAAATTTTACAAGTACAGATTTTATAAATTACGTATTAAGTGCAAAATATAAAATTCTGACAAAATGATTATGAAATAATAATATACTGTATAATACAATTATAAATTTAGTAATTCATTGCATTCGTAATATTTCCATTTATCCGGCTGTTATGAGAGAGAAAATATTGTAGTTTGTAAAATTTGATTATCAGATAATTTTATTACTAGAACTTTTAAGCTTCTCTACCTTTAAAAGACATGAAAAGCACGAAAGCAAAGGTATTTTTTTATATATACCGTACGTGTATGTAGATATAAGTTGGCCCGTATTTTGCTTTAAGTCATACGATCCATAGTAAAACTGAAATTTTGCAAAAGTAATTTTTATATAAAACATTGATGATGGCACATTTTCGAGATCCAGTTTAACGGAAATTTTACTCTTATGAGATTTTTAGCATACACCTTTAGTTCTTCGCCCGAGTTAACTCGTGCAAGTTACATAGCGTTACATAAAACCCGGGCCTTTGGGTCCCGAAAATGTTTTTTCAATTTTTGGATGTTTCAGGTCTCCAAATTTTTTCAAAAATTTCAATGTTTAGGTCTCCAAATTTTTTCAAAAATTTTTACCCGAGCGAAAAAATTTTATCGTGATTTTAATCAACCGTCAATGACGCGCGATTAACGCTTAATTGTTTTTTAATGGGAGTTTGATATCAAATTTTATTCATCGTTCTCAAGTTGTAGTGCACGAANCTGAATTTTCTTCTGACATTTAAAATATGTGTGTATGTACAGTACTGTACCTTCGTTGCATTATACTGATTATTGAACGCGTGTAAAATGAAATTTTACTCTTCTTTGTTTTTGATCTTTGAAGTTTCGTACGTTACTTTTGGGTCACGTTGGACAATTTTTTCAAAGTTCTAATTCCATCTATAGTTTGTTATTTATCATTTGCAATATACTACTATACAAAGTGTGTAAGCAAAATCCATAAGGATTTCAAAAAGAACGGAATAATATATTTTATTTAACAAAGTCATAAGTACAGTGTATGCAAATTATAGTTATTAAGTTCAGCTTTTTGCTTTTGTGATATTTAAGATTATGTTTTGACTAAAAGATTTTTTTTTGCTTTAATATTTGATTTACAGACAGTAATGGCCTACGAGATACTGTGAGGTATTGCTTATAAGAATAAAATTGCATGGAAACAAACGAATTTTATCCAAATTTATGCCAATTAAAACTTTTAATGACGATTTTACTAAACGGCGTTCAGTAACATGATGATAATCTAAAATATATTTTGATGACGTCATCGTTTCGTTACATTATTGTTTATGACATCGAAGTTGACGGTAATTTTGCTAAATTGTATCATAATAGGCCTACAGTAACATATAAATGGACTATCTATATTTATGCCGTCCTTATCCCGAATAGTTTGTAGATATCTATCCTTTCCAAATGTTCTATCACATACAAGGCCCCTGTTCCATCTATAAAGAGATAGCCCGATGTAGTAAGAACAGAATTCTAAGGAATGTGGAAATTGTAGGGTTTCAGAAGAATCCTACAATTTCCTCACTCCTTAGGAATGAAAAAGACGTCATCGAGAAGAAATAGTGTCTCGGCCGAAACAACTTGAAAGGTTAGAAGAGTACAAATCCTTCGGGAAAAGGACGGTAGTTAACTTCGAGGAGACAGACTCTATTTCGTCAGGCTGGAGAGCGTATAAAAGTTATAAGTGAAGGTTTCTTCTTCCAATTGTCAGATTAGTAATACCTATCATGTCTTTCTTAATTATGGATAATTAACAAAGACCGAGATTAAAACAGTTCTGTTTATTTCGCCTATTTAAGAATGCATTTCGGATTGGTCCCTATTCGCGCTCACGGCTTCAATGTCTCCAACATAACGAAAAAAAGGTTAGTTCGTCTTAATATACTTTTGTTATCCACAATGATGGATATAGTGCACAATTTGTACACATCTTAATGGAGTAGTTTCTACATATCAGTCTCTTGAACTTACTGGCATGTTTTCCTTGTTTATTTTTTATGGGAAAAATGTCTTTTCTCACAATTATTAACTCCTTATTACTTCTCAGAAGGATTTTAACTTCGATATTCTGGTTCATAACACGACAAAGATCAAAATGTAGTTTTTATCGTCAATATTTTCACAAGTGGAAACCAAAGCTTTTACAAACAAACGATAACTACGAGCAATTGTTTATTGTGACATGGTCACAATGCCGGGCTGCAATTCTTAATCATATTTTGAAATCATTTAGTTCAAAATACCTCAAGTTAGTAGTGGCTTGTCCCTGTACATCACACTTTTTCGTTAACAATAGAGTCGTGCCGGTCATCTGTTAACTGACGTTTTGAATTGAAAAAAACGTGACTTTCGGTTTGAATCGGATGATCATATATTAAGTAATGGTCAGAATTGTCTTCCCCCAGCCAAATGTTCAGTACACGTGCTGTACATAAAATAACTTGCTATCACCCATAGAGTAAGCATATCTAAGCGACTAAAATAGAAGCTTTTATCAAAGAATTGTAAGCACCTGTTTTGTGCACTTGTTCAAGTGTGGCGAAATTTAACGAAAAGGTTTTTATTTACAAAATGCACGAAAAAGTAAAACAAATTTTATTTATTTTCATAATATTTTCGGTATTATGCGATCAAAAATAAATTCGTTAAGTGCTCGTGCTAAGAAACATTCTAAGTTATACTTTTTACCAATTTGTATGGAATTCTTATAAATACCTACACTTTCGTTTTTAATCGCATAATACTAAGAATATTACGAAAACAAAATAAAATTTACCTTCTATTGTTTACAGTAAAATCCAATAAAAAGCATTTATTTTAATTTTTTTAAAATATTTTTTATTTACTACTTTTTAGTATTTTGTACGAAACAATGAATTATCGAAAATTTTTCTTGATTTATGATTTCATTTAACGTATATTATTATTTAGATTTCGCTAATTTTCTGCTAAAATTGCTTGCGAACTGTAAAAACAAAGAATATGTATTCTTATCGGGAATACGTGTGTATGCAAAGTTAATTAAATCGAAATTGAATAACAATATTCCATCTAGACAAACAGAGTAAATTAATAAAACGTGTGTAAAAATAGAAGAGGCAACATCGAGAATCGATGAATCGTCACGAAATTTTTGAACATGTCAGCCAAATTTGTGGGGCAATTAAGAGAAAAGTAAGGTCATCAAAATATCCAAAGTTGGTTTCACCCTTGGATATTTCGAATTTTAAATCATAGAAAAGTACTGATGATTTTTCTTGAAATTACTAAAACTGCAAAACATGATAACAATTTTAATATTAATATTATAAATTAAGAACTTCATGCTATGAATATTACTATATAACATGAATATTATGTTTTACTACGAAAAATAAGATCTAGTTTTTTAAAAACTATATACTACTCTATTCTTTTTTTTAGAATTTATAATTGATTTCGTTATGATGAATATTTTAAAGATTAATTTTGTATCGTATGTAAATAATTATTTTGTATTATATCATGCAATCTCGAAACTGCCGAATTTTATAAGAGAACAAGAATTGTCGCTAGGTAAGGGACACCCGATAATGAACTACGAGCCATATTGACCAGATCAGTGTTGTTCTTGGTCTGTTCTCTTGTATGGGGCCACTTCTATTTAAACGAACGAGCCTTTAATTAACATACACATAACACAGTTCGGATAGAATTTTCACTTCGAACTGCGAAGTAGCCGTATTTCGCATTAACCAAATTCTTTAACGTGTAAATCTCTATATCCGGGGCCCAGACAAAAGTACAGTTACGAACTATTTGAGTTCGAATTAACGAAGATTTCTTGTATATACAATTAATTAGTTTTATAGCTGAATGTACAATAGAGCATCGTTTATCCGAAAGTCGGTTATCCGAAAGAATTCCAGTCGGTAAATTTAAATTTTCGCTAGTGCTGTGGCGCTGCATCTTTGCTATATCTTGGGCTACTCCAATATTTTTTTTGTTGATGTGTGTTTTTAGCTGGCAGCACTGGCACATTTGTGTGGTGGTTTTCCCAGGACTGTGTGTCATGTTGAATCGAACGTTTTTGATACTAGATTAACTTCCAAAGTATAATTTTTTTTGTTTTTATATTTTTCAATATATTTATTTTGTTTGTACAAAATAAAGAAATAATTTTTAACGATACAATAGCCACGATTATTATTTTAAAAAGTTTACATTAGGCTTAACAGCGACGAAAATTCAACGCAAAGCGACATGCAACGGAGAAAAATTTCAACATGGGATAGGTTAATATATTTTTTCGTACATAATCGGTTATCCGAAAAATAAGTTATCCGAACAACCCCAGTCCCCAATTGATTCGGNATCACAGAAATAATATTTAATCCCACATTCCATGCACTTCCATAACCCAAAGTTTCTACTTGAATACAAATAACAGTAAATAAAACAGCAATGCTGTAAGATATGTCAGAAATAAATGTAAAGAATATAACAAATACAGACAAAATAGCGATTCCTACGGCTTTCAAGTATATTGCAGGCATATTTAAATACTGATCGTACAATACAAACCACATGTTATAAACAAATACATCATATTTGCTCTCAGCTGCAATTTTACGTAATTCTTCGATTAAAGATTTTTCATCACGTCCGGTTCTGACATTGCGATATGCAAACAAACATCTCGAAGCTAAAATTTGATCACGATCCTTATTCCACAGGATATCATCTTCAAATATTCCATTGTAAAATTTTAAAAACACTTTTTTCAATCCGTCTAAAAATCCCTGCGTTGTATTTACATCAAAATCTTTAATCAAGTAATTTATTCTAGAATCACGAATATAAGACAAATATTCTCTCAACCAACATTCGGTATAATTGGGTCCAGTCATGTAAGGGGCACTTTCGAATGTTCTTAAGATGTTTTCTATGTCCATTTGAACGGATGAATTTGAATAATCTAGAGTTTGATTAAACACTAGCTGTACTGTAAGAGGATAATCGGTGAAATATTCATAATGCATTTTCGTATATTTCTCAGCGTAAGAATGGAATGGAAATATATCAGTGTAATCTAGTCCTTGTTTTATGGAATTAATATTATAAATTGCTCCTGTTAATAGACAAGTAAATGAAAATATTACTAATACTTTGATAAAGTTTTGGCTCAAAAAAGCACTTAATTTTTCGGGAAAACTTTTCGCTATCTTCATGATCTTCAGAATTTTTTCGATACTTGTCGAGTTTCTTTCTACAAAAAGTAAATTTTTGTTTAAGTATATTTGTAAAATAGTGATAAACTGATCGTAAACTTATATTTAATTTATCATATGTCTTTAAATATTCTGTTCAATTTTAATACAATAAATTCTGCTAATAGCTACAAAAATGTAAAATTTGATAATTGTACTCATTTTATACATAAATTTTACAAATATCTATTGTACCCAGTACAATAGATATTTGTAAAATTTATGTAAAATTAGACTATTATCTGATAGTTATGTTCATATTTAAATTAATTATTGTTACAACAACTTAAACTATATATTTTTGTGTTTAAAGACAAATAGTGATAGAAAATACTAGCGTTTTTTCATATTTCTTAAATTTTCTATATTTTTAAACCCATTTTTCGTTTTTATTCTTTTACTTTCTGTATTTGGTTTAGCAACAAAAGCAATATGAAAACAAATCAAGACAAACGAGTTCTTTTTCAAGTCATAAGATAAATAAATAATTTATCTATTTTATTGCTGTTTAATTTTTTTGCTGTTTTAACAATAATCAGTCATTCTTTCTAAACACGATTTTACATAATTGCTTTGCACGTAAAAGAATTATTTTTTGATATGTTTGTTTTTTATATTTTTAATACCTTTTAAATTCTGAAAATATTATATATGAAGCAACATTTTTTTTGTAAAACATAAATAAACATATATTGTAGATTTTTCTTACGTGGAATAATTTTTTATAAATAAAAAATAAAATTCTTACCTGTCTCATCTGTACGAACACGATATAAAAGTAAGGAATGGAAATTTTGCTTTTCTCTGTAACCGTCGATTGCCATCACCGCACCAAAGAAAAATATTTGATAAATATAATCGAATAACACTGATATGGCACTATATATACTGAAGATACGAATGTTTCTATAAGGAGTTATAACTCCTAAAATGAATGATATAAAATTGGTTAATGAGGTTATCGTTATGGAAATACAGACATCAGAAAAGGTTTCACTCATTCTTTGTTTGACACTGTGATTCTTATCCGTTCGTCTCCACGCAGCCAACAATACGAAAGAATCATCCATTCCGATACCTGAATAAATATTTCTACTGAAACTTTTACTAAAATATATACAAAATGTCAGAATTTAACAGTATAAGAGTATAAAATATATGTAAACAAGCAAGTATGCCCGGAGGTGCAGAAACAAATGATAAGAATAAACATTAAAATTACTAGATTTTTTGTATTTCTAACTCTTCCATTATATTCCATTTTACTATTTGATTTATACAACTACAAACGATATCTTACGTTACAGTCTACAACTACAGAAAATTTTAAATTAAGTAATGTTGCCATGATAATAAAAAAGGAAAATAAAACATCGGCACAGAAAAAGACTTCGAGCTCTACTTTGTGCTTAAAATCGTTGCACGTACCGTACATTAGTTCGGTTGAACGTTAGAACATATTTCAGCGTTATCAGTAGGACGTTTGGGACAATGGGTTTATGAGTTATGATATAACACTTCTATTTCAGCTGCTGAGTAATGATATAGCCCCTCTATTTCGCACTATATCATTGTCGCAGTAATTAAGTGAACGTAATTGAACAAAATATATATATTTTGAAGTTATATGCTTTTTTATAAAAATTATATTCAGTTTATTAGTTTAGATTTTTTACCAATAGATAAAACTATGTGTCAACCAGAAAATCGAATGGAGATAGAAATTACGTGATTTACAGAAATCAAATAGATATTTTGGGGTGGTATGTTCGACATTATCTCGGGTATACAAACGACACTGCCGAGTTTCGTAGCAATTAGTCGAACAGCCTAGGCGCGTAGTGCGAACAAACATCCAAACAAACGAACAAATGTTCTAATTTATAATTTATATATATATATATACATAGAAAATAGAAGAAGAATTCTGCCAGGCAAAATTTAATTATGCCATATATAGAAGAAACAGAGAAAACGCTGAATTATAAAATGTGTCTTATTGTTTAATCTTTCTTCGTATTTCCGTGATACAATTTAATATTAAGAATTTTTTTGTTTTTATTTGTATAATATATTGTTTACTGTAGCGTTACCTGAAACACTTCTAATGTTTTTCATATATAGAGGTACGATAATTTCAATAAAATTGCAGACTCCGCTAAAGCCTACAATATAAACGCCAGTATTATTTGTTTTTAATCGCATTAGTTCCCAGCAATTTTTGATATTAATGTAATTAAACATAAAAAAAATACTTAAAACTAAAAAAACGAAAAGAAATGCGTTAATTTTGAAAAAGCTTCAAATTTTATTTTCTATTGTCTCGCCTTTCTGTGAAATCTGACGCCAATGAGTCATTGTGTTTACAGCTGGATGACCTTGAGAACAGCTGGTATTGGATTTCCCGGGANTTAAAGTGATACAATAAATTTAATTGTAATTCATTTTGTTATATAAATGATAAATTAAACTAAGATAAATATTTACTTTTGTTATTTAGTCTGAAATTAATTGTGTAAATGAGCTAAATGTGAATAAATTTATTTGTCACTTATGTTGCAAATGGAAATATTTAACTAAAGTGAACATAACTTTGTAGATTTTTTTAATACAGAATCATTTATTAAGTTCTTTAAAACAAGTCATTTATTTATTTTAAAGTTATATTCAGTTTATTAGTTTAATCTTTTGCCAATAGATAACGCTACGTGTAAACCAGAAAGTCGAATGGAGATAGAAATCACTTGATTTACAAAAATCCAATAAATATTTTGGGGTGGTATGTTCGACATTATCTCGGGTATACAAACGACACTGCCGAGTTTCGTAGCAATTAGTCGAACAGCCTAGGCGCGTAGTGC